TTTATCTTGGTGTAAACAAGTACAAGTAACTTGAGATACATTAATATAGAGCTGTCTTCTTAACCGGTCGATAAATAAACAATAAACCTGGTTGCATTCTAATTTTGAAGCGACTAATTTTAATTTGCAAAATCCACCTAAAAGAGAGGCCTTCCCCCCTAAAAAGAAAATCCTGAAGTATCGAGAAGTTTAAATCGTCCCCAAATACTGTTTAGCAGGATTTCCCCATAACATAAGCATATCAATGAAGATTACCATGTAACGGCCACTATATCAAATTTCAATTCCATGCTCAACACACGTGTGAAAAGCATTTGACTGCAAAGGGTGAAACTTGGTCCTATGAGAGCTCTGAGTATACCGAAAAGAGCGAAGGAAAACTGTTTCCAGCCACCTTGTTAAAAACTTGTTTCATTCGAGAATAACAAAGCCCAAAATGGCAGAATACCTTCGATATGAATGTAGTTCTAACTCCGGGTGAACTAAGATTATTCGCAGATGAAGCAACAATGCAAGATATTTTACCTCACTTTCGAGCGGAAAGAAGCTGCAACTGGAAATAGTGGTGCTTTCGAAGGTCATATATTGCATTTGAATATTTGTGAATAAAGTGATGCCAAATAATTCTTCTCCTTGACTAGATCGTGTGAAAGCCCTATACAAGTCGTGCCTTGCACAATTCAAACCGGAAGTAATTGTAGATAAATTGGCCTGCGGCGGAAATAATGTTTCACAACATCTTTGGTCACAGCGACTGTGTCATGTTTGTCACGCTTCTCTTACAGAGCAAGAAATGGTAAAGAATTCCAGAACAATATGGTATTCTCATTCAAAACATAAATGGCATTGACACTGCAGCACTCGTTTTTAGCCTAGTCTCCTTTGCTGCCGTTGCTTAGTTCCCTCTCTCTGACAGAGCATGCCAGAGCCTAAACAACAGCTGCCAGAGATGCATTCGATTTTAATGAGCAAGCTGATATGTTTTCTTTGGAAACAATATTATGTGCACAGCTCTATTTCCATGTTTCTTTTCTATCAATAGATGAGCTCAGATAAAACTATTGTGGAAAAAAACCTCAAGATTAATGCAATTTACTTCCAATGTTAACAAAGACAACGGTCGCTAGCTCGTCTACGTTGGCATGCTTTCAAATCGGCGTCCTGCAAAAGACGTCTAAACTTTCTAATGTTCCTGAAAATGGGGAAGAAAATCGCCAATATTCAGGACCTATAATCCGGAAACTTTAAATGCGTTCCTCCCATTTTAATAACAGTGCTGTTTCATTCTGTTCTCTCTCTCTCTCTTTAGGTCACAGTATCTTTTATAACCAAACCAGGGAAGAAGAGGATGCAAGATCAGCTCTGGTATAATGTTACTTTATCACTAATAGCTTAATAACAATAAAAATGTTCGAGGGATCTTCCGCGTTAAAATCAAGTATGGCTTCACGAATCTGATATATTCAGCATTTTAGGGTTATTTGATTTGACCTGACAATCCCCTCTTTATATAACAACGAAAACAACGTAAGCTATCCTCATTTTCCCATCCGCCATAAGCATCCGCCATCCGCAGTCATCCGGTCTGCGTTTTACAGACACCCGGTATTTATTTCATCATTCACTTTAAACTTAACGTAATTTGTTGGAGATTTCATTCAGCTTTAGAGGGGATTCAAGAAGAGTATATATCATCATAATTCACAATTAGGAAGATTCTTCGATACGATATAATCAGAAAATTCCCGCAAAGGAAGTAAACGGTAAACTTCAACGCATAAAAAGTTTATATTCAATTTCAAAGAAAACTATGCGTAAATTGTAAGTCGAAATGCAGTTAACTCTTTAGTTCCCAAGATCGTATTAGTAGTTCTCCTTACTGCCTGACATACAATTCATATGACGTCAATTTGGAGAATTTGGTATTGGATCAACTAATAATCCTCTAAATGATGTTTTACTTTATTTTTCATCACTTCTTTGCTTGATATTGTATTGATATTGTAAGGAGATATTCTCTCTTGGTCACTCATGGGCGGTAACCTTCTTTTGTTTCAATACAAAATAGCGGGGAAAGTGAATACGATTGATGGTAGATGGTATATAGCAAATAATTGCTATTCCGCCATGCCTTCGATCTCTTTAGTTTCCACTTTTAACTGGTGGTTGAGACAGAATTCAGACGTGTCAAAGCTTAATTCAAGTCAACGGAGGTGTTTCAATAAGTTGATGGATAAAATTAAGTAGTCTAGGAACCATCACAGTCACCCAGTTACAAAAAAGAGGCGCAAAATATACTAATAGACAATTATCACGTATCTTTCGGAAAGAGCGGTTTTGATGAATATCTTAGAGTTCTCTGAACGTACGAGGCTAAATATCTGTATGTCATCATCTGTCACAAATGCAAATAATTTTTATTTGATCAAATACGTTGATTGTCACACTTTAAAACGAATTCTAATGATTGTTTGGTTCCAAATTGACGACAAGATGTAACTCAGCCCGATTGCTCTCTAATTTTCTCTGACGCAATGTTGAGGTGATCTGTGGTTATGCATGCCTCATCTTGAGGCGCGTATTTTGCTCGAGTCATTAAGTGTGTTTCCTTAACTTCAACCGACGCCATTCAAATTGCTATTTACGCGAAGCTCTTTCTGTGCTATATCAAGTGAACTGGGTTCCAAGGGCCATAAACAACAGAGAAAAAAATGCAGGACTAAAATGTGAGGCTAGCCTAATGTTTAAAAATTGGACCGTGACGTCATGTTTCAAAAATTCCAAAAATTCAGTTTTCAAAAGTTAGACGTTACGATGTGTCAGTTACATCCTTATGGAAGTGAAAATGAAATGTATGATGATATGTTTTTAATTTTCGATGTGTTTTAACGACAGAAAATACCACAATGGAGTATACCAAAGATCAACTGAACTACTTTCGAATATGTTACATCATCAATTGTATTGCGGAAGGATTAAGACAAGTCTTCATACGAGAATGGGATTCCAATTACAAAGTGAGCCTGGGTGAATGGGAAGACACCGCACAGAATGGTCAGGACTTCTACAACAACGAATCCAAGAAGCCGAGTTATAGGAGAAATCGTGTTCATCTGAGAATAATAAAGAAAGGGAAAACAGAAGAATGGGACTGTAGTTGCTTATTTTTCGCTATTTTGTTCTCGTATAGCATTGGTTCAACAATTAGCACAACCACCAGAAAAGATATCGAGGATCTTCGTCAAGTCAGAAATGATATTGCCCATATCAGTGAAGCAACTCTTACCGACACGCAGTTTCAGAATCACGTGGGAATAGTTTTAAACGCTTTTAAGTCCTTAAGTCTTCCAATCTCTGACATCGAAACGGTTAAAAATCAGAAAACTTTTCCTACAGCAGAAGTCAACGGCCTAAAGGCACAGGCAGCAAATCTCGAGACAAAATTACAAACAGCGAAGTCCGATTTCCAAGACGTTAAAGACGCAATCAAAGCGAAAGAGGACGAAAATCTGACGCTTACCTCTGAGTTAAAAGAAGCGAAAGAACAAATGAAATGTCTAACAGAAGAAATCAATCTCAAGGTCGAGTCTTTCTGTCTTCTCACATCTAACCCACCCCACAAAATCATCCTGCGGAGGACGGAAGTCTCAAAAATCATAGGAAAAATGAAAGCACTTGAAGAAAGATCTAATGGAGCAGTTAGTACCATTTATCTATCGGGAATGCCAGGATGCGGAAAAAGTCAAATTGCCAGACAGACTGGAGAACAGTTCTTCACAATGAAATCCGGCAAAAGTAAAAGTTTAACATTTGTTGCAACCCTAAATGCTGAAAGTCTCGAGACTCTTCGTGATTCGTACTTCTCTTTAGCCAAAAAACTGGGAGTTTCGGAGTATGCTATAAGTAAGCTGGCTATTGCAGAGCTGGAGAGCGCAGATGAAATAATTCGACATTTACAGCGTTTAATCAGACAGAATACTAATCTTTTCTACAGCTGGTTAATGATTGCTGATAACGTAGGGGACTTAGTCTTGGTCCGTAGCTTTCTTCCCCAGACTGGTTGTAAAGACTGGGGTCGCGGTCAGGTTCTGATTACAACTCAAGATGCCAGTGCCATCCCAACAAGTGCCCCTCATACCTATCACGAGTCATTGAGCGCAGGCATGCGGCTGGACGATGCATTACAGCTCTTAAAAGAAGTATCGCAAATCGTTTTCAGTCATGAACTAGCTGAAGAGGTTCTTGAGGTTCTTGAGTTTCAGCCACTCGCTTTAGCAGCTGCTGCATTTTACGTCAATACTGTTGTGAACCATGGCTCCCCAAACTACACATGGAAGAATTATCTGGAAGTCTGTTCTCGAGGTGAACGTGAAAGTACAGAAAAACGTCTTGCCATGGAAAGCGAAGCGTACTCCAAGACAATGACCACCTCTATAAAAATGGCACTAAAAACGTTTTCGGACAGAGAGGACGTTCTACGGCAGACATTCCTCCTCTTTTCGCTAATTGCTTCAGACCCTCTTCCCATAGAAGTCGCTGTTGACTTTGTCAGAGTTCGAACCTCAGGCAACACAGACGAGCTAATCAGAGCGAAGATTATAAAATCCACCTTGATTACTTGTTTGTACAATGAAGACAGGTCTTCAGGATATTTAAAGGTACCAACCACGGTATATAAAATCCTCAAGGAAACTTCGACTTCTTCTTTTTCGGAAATAGTTCCCAGCGTATGTCACGCTATTAGTGCTTTTCACTCTCTAATTGAATCAGAGCGAGGTAATTTGTTCCAAAGTCCACAAGTCTGTGTCAAACTCCGAAGAGTTACAGCCCACAGTAAATGCTTACATAACATTCTTACCGCTACGTTTCCAGATAAATTTACTTGGAAGAAACGACTAACATCCTTTATTACTCTGAACACGATCATTTTGTGGCTTTCGGGAACAGCTGCTGTTTGTTGTGACCTGAGTAACCCTTCAGACGCAAATCTGTTTTCTACATCTGCTTGCGAACTAGCTGTATATAGTGACGGCTCGGTGAGGGCAAACGCACTCACTGTACACGGCAGAGTGTTAATGATGTCATGTAACCATAAAATTTCCAATCAAGTCTTTGAAAAAGCTATCGAGATTTACAAAATAAGTGATGGAGTAGAACACCCAAAGCTAAGTCATTGCGCAAGGCACATTGAAGTGCTAGAATACTTTGAGAAGGCTCTGGCCATCAGGAAAAAGACTTTAGGTGAGGAACATACTGATGTAGCAGAAAGTCATAACAACTTGGGGGTTGTTTACAGTCACCTCGCAGAGTACAATGAAGCCAAAGAACATTACGAGAAAGCACTATTCATCTGGAAAAAGATTTACGGCGAGGAACATGCTGATGTAGCGGCAAGTTATAACAACCTGGGAGTTGTTTACGGTAACCTCGGAAAGTACAGTGAGGCAAAAGAATACCTCGAAAAAGCACTGATCATCAGGAAAAAGATTAACAAGGAGGAAGATGCTCATGTAGCATCAAGTTATAACAACCTGGGAACTGTTTTCAGTCATCGCGGAAAGTACAGTAAGGCAAAGGAATTATACGAGAAAGCACTGTTCATCTTGAAAAAGATTTACTATGTGGGACATAAGCTTGTGGCGACAATTTACCACAACTTAGGAATTGTTTGCAGTCAACTCGGAGAGTACTTTAAAGCAAAAAATTATTTCAAGAAAGCACGGGTCATTATGAAAAAGTCTTCCGATGAGGTACATTCTGCTGAAGCGACGAGTTCCATCAACCCTGGAAATATTGACAATCGCCTTAGAAGTGTAATGAATACAAAGTACTCAAAGAGAAAGCACTGACCTTTAAGTACGAGATTCACGACAAGGAACATACTAGGATAGTAAACGCTTACTGTAGTCTAGGAGCTGTTTATAGTAATCTTGACATTTCTATGTATATAGTCGCGGAAAGGCCCTGATTATCAAGCTAGAGGAGATTAATCAATAGCGATGAACATTTTGATACAATAAGTTTTCGCAAGAGGAAATCTGTCAAGCAATCTGGACCTGATAATTTCCTTCAAGTTCGGCTTGGGAGAGTTCCAACTTTGCCTTGACAACACTTGTTATCAACTATCAGGCTATAAGTAATTTTTAATAACACTTAACACACTTTGATGCTGCTTTCTTAATTGCATGCGCCAGAGTATAGTTGGGGTGGTTTGAGTCAAGGGGTGATTTTCCAATTGATTCTCTTATATAAATCATGCATGTGGTAATATTGCTAATGGGTACAACGAGACACTAACATGTCTCAAAAGTCCTTCATCATCCTTAAATTGAATTTGAAAATGCGTATTGAAGTCATTGGGGCATCACCAGTTTGAATTCGTTTTTTGATGATTTACCGGAGTAGATGGTAGTTCTTCTCATTTAATCTGCTTAGATTTATAGGAAAGAGCTAGCCTTAGAGAGTGTATGGAAATGTGGGGAAGTGTTGAAAGGCTGTTACCTTGTACTTCTCATTTCTTTGGACATATATTTTTAAATTATCGCCTAAAATTTGTGTTTCCTCATTAGCCATTACACGCAAATAAAATTAACAATAAATGGTGCGGAAACCTACGGAAAACCAATGTGGCTAGCAGCTTAGGTTTATTCAAAAGAAAAGCAGGATTATTAATAAGGACAGCATAGGATAATAACATTTTCAGACGATATACTGGGAGGAGAGAATCACGTTTCGCTAGGTTGTACTTGATTACTTGCTCATGTCACGCATCGCTTTTTGTTAATTCTCATGACTGATAATTTGCGTAATTTCGGATCCACTTGTATACAAGTTTCAGTATGTAATCAGTTAGAGCATGGTTCGTCCGGATTTTTTCATATTATGAGTATGTGCTTATAAATTGTGAATTGTGAATTCTTTTGTTAGCCGTGGAAAGTTGCAAGGTTTAGAGTACAGTTTGCCTTCAGCCGACCAAAAAGGGCCAACTTTACCGCTTACCATCTTCAAAAGAAGCTAAACGTCAATCGTCAAATTATTTTCAGTGAAAGAGTGCGAGCTCTGAAAAGAGCCTCCGACCGCGAACAGTTTACCTTCATCATGAGTTAACTTCGACAGCAGATGCACATCACGGTTTTAAAATTCGCGCCAATTATTGTGAATAATTTTACAAGAGAACGAGTTTCTGTAATAGCTATTGTTTAGATTGACAGGTGTATTGTTGTATTCATGGTTGGGCCGAAGACAATGGCTCCCTAGCTAAAAACGAGCCATTTTGAACGCAACTTCGACTGCAAAAATTTTTAAACAGGTTCCTGTCAGCCATTTTTCGCAATCAAAACGGCTTCTGTGAGAGGGAAGAGTAATCTGCCATTTACCGTGCGGTGATATTTTATTTGAAGGGTAGTAAGAATTTTCAGAAAATTGCTCTCGAAAATGACTTTCATACTAAAAATAACCGAATTTTGTGCACATGAATAATTCTTCTACTTCGTAAATTTCCTTCATTTTAGATGCAAATTGTAGATATATCTTCAATTTTCGAAGAAGCGTGCGCCGATTAAGAAGTTAGCACTTTTAAAAATTCGAAAAGTTACTGAATTTTTCTGAAGCTTAGTGGGCCAATCCTAGCTCATTTTCATCTCATTTGGGGCTCATCAAAGCGAGGTCGCGCTCAAATTTGCCGCTTCATCGGTTGTGAATAATTATAACGATGACCGCGAATTCTGCCCGATGTGGTTGTCAATGAAACGGCTGCGAATCTTCTTTTTCTCTACTGAACCTCTATTATAATTAGTGCGCCCGCGTTTTTCATTCTTTTTCAAGCACAGCAACCAAGAGTATATTACAAGCTGCTCGTCACGGATATCCCTGACTCTCGCCTTATGTACTTCCTGTACATTATGTACTACTTTTTGTTTTTGCCACATGAATAAATATCTGAAACACCTCCCCTCTCCTCCCCCCCTACCTACACCATAACTCACGAGGCGCTTTGTAAATCTAGTTCGAACCGGAAGTAAAGAAATCAGTGGCTCTTCGACGGTAGATGACAGTTAAAAGGATAAATGCCTGCTCGGTGATTTGACAAAAAATGTATAGATTAAACCATTTCACAATACACATTGTACTTCTCCTGTTTAATCAGAGGTGTGAGGAAGCATTATGGAAGCAGTGCAGGGATTCCGCCATTTTAGCTTGAACAGGATCATAATTCTCCTCCCTACCCTATCTTACTGTAAAATTGCACCTATGCTCCTGATCCTGAAAAAACGGTCTTGGAGGGATTGCCAAATAAAAGGTAGAAGTCTTCCTCTATCATTGTGTTATTCAGGCATTTACAAAAATTTTGACAGCTGCGGTCCTTTAGTGACAATCATTCGACTATCGTTAACTGACGCTTATAGGCTCATCTACTTGTATACAAAGATATTGCATTCGATTATAAACCCCCTCGATATAAGCCCTCCTCTGGCTTTTCTTGTTTCGAGAGATACTTTCGTACTTCAAACCGAAAATTTGAAAAAATTATTATTAACTCCATGTGTACCAATACGTTTATATACTCTCTTGATATATACCTCAAATTTTAATTCTGTTTCAAATGTAATGAAATGAATTCGATTTATTGTCATCGGGCAGAATGTCATTTGTTCTCGCGACATTTACTTGCTGTAGCGACAAAACTGTCGATCTGTAATATTGGCGGCGAAGCGTACACTGGTTGATCCTGATTGGACGAGATGTATTGTTATGTATCGAGACTATCCAATACCTTTCAAGACTAAATTGCTCCAAAAACCTGACAAAACCATCTCGGGACAGCCTCATTTCCTCCGCGAGATATCTACGGCTGTCAGACCTGGCTTAGTTCCCAGTCCGAGCCATAGACAGTTTCGTCTGTACCATTTCCAGTGATATGATTGGTCGAGACAAAACCAAAACACACTGATGTGGCCGAGAGAGGATTGGGACGATACTTTTTCCTCTTGGCTTTTCGTGGCGGCCATGTGGTAATGCGAGGGGAACAGTTGTGCCTAAATCCCACCGGCTAAAATGAATTTTAGGTCAAATTCATCTAAAACTTGTTACTACGGTTTGCTTCACATTTTACTTTTTCTGCACTCCCAATTAGTCTTACACGTCTTTGAACCGCTTTTTTCAAGAATTCGTTTCCAGGCCTAGAAATGACTGCTGGCTAGAGGTACAGCTTGCATATTTAGTCAAATTTGCCCAATTTTTATAGTGGTTGCTTCATATTGTACTTTTCTGCACTCCAAATAAGTCTAACAATCCTTGGAATCACATTTTTTCATGAATACATTTACATTTTGTTTTTTCTTATTTAGTCTTAAACCTCTATAGCTGGTAGGATCTTTGGAGGCTTAGAAATACTTGAACTACAGCTTGCATATTTAATTGACTTCGCCCAATTTTTATTAAAGTCTGCTTTGAATTTTACTTCTTGGCATTCCATTTTAGTCTTATACTACATTAGAATCACTTTTTTCAAGAATATCTTCTTGTTCCCTGGTCATGTACCTACCACTGCCCATTTGATGGTGCAGCACACAAGCCATGAGCATCAAATGACTCTTTATAGGGAATCAGCTGAAACTAAAGGACATGTTCCTCTTTTGGGAGTAGGCATTATTAAGTAATAAGTAAAGGGTTTCTGATTGGTGTTCAAATAAGAAAGGTTTGAATTCTTCTTAACAAAAGCAATTGTTATTAACAAAAATACAGTAAATAATACAGGTACAGGTTAATCTCATTTATTTATTGTATAAATTCTATATATATATATATATATATATATATATATAGTAAAAAAACCATTTTATATTTTCAAGAATAACTTGCGCTAAGGTTTTCATACAGTCACACATGCTCTTAAATATCATTGAAAATTTAAAAGGAAAATATCAGTTTGGTGAATTAAAACCATGTTATCCTATGACTACCTAAAGATTACTTGATTTTAGTATTTCAGGCAATAGTTCGCCTTGTCGACAATGATTCTAATCAAACACAAATATAATGAAAATAGAGACTGTTCCTTTCAAAGAAATCCAATCATACTCAGTATGCAGAATATTACATGACAAACTTCAGTAACTCTGGTTGACAAGTTCAAATCAAAATGAACTTTTTGTCAAATTCATCTAAAACTAGTTTGATTTGAATTGAAATAAATCCACAACCAAACAAAATACAAATCAGACTGGTTTAAAATATATTTACTTAAGAGTCATTTAAAACATATCAGTGTTAATGATTTCAAGCTTACTTCAGACACATAAGCAAGCTTCCCCTCTGGCTGATAGTGTTTTCTTAGTAATCCTAGATCCTACAAGCCAGATGAACAAGACTGCAAAGCATGAAAATATAGCTATATGGGGTGACTCCACAACAGTATGAGACTAACATGGAATTTACAAGGTTTTTCCATAAATCAAAAAGTAAATGAAATGAGCCTAATTCACCTCAAATGCACAAAGTACCCCTGGCCTGTACTATTTTCTAAGCCCACCTAAGATCCTACCGGCTAGAGGTACACAACAAAGGAACAAGAAGATATTTATGAAAAAATTGATTTAAATGTAGTGTAAGTCTAAATCGAATGCCAAAAAGTAAAATTCAAAGCAAACTGTAATAAAAATTGGGCGAAGTTGATTAAATATGTAAGCTGTACCTCTAGCATTTTCTAAGCCTAATAACATCCTAAAAGCTAGAGGTAGCAAATTAAAAAAAAAATGTAAATTCATTCATGAAAAAAGTGATTCCAAGGAGTGCAAGGCTAAGTTGGAGTGCAGAAAAGTCAAATGTGGAGCAAACCTTAGTAAAATTTGGGCAAACTCGCCTAAATATGCAAGCTGTACCTCTGGCCGGTAGTATTTTCGAAGCCCCCTAAGATTCTACCGGCTAGAGGTACAAGACCAAATAATAGTAAAAATGAAATGGAAAATTATTCTTGAAAAAGTGATTCAAAGGGGCGTAAGACTAATTTGGAGTGCAGAAAAAGTAAAATGTGAAGTGAACCGCAATAGCAATTGAACAAAGTCGACTAAATATGCAAGCTGTACCTCTAGACGGTTGCATTTTCTAAGCCTCCTGAGATCCTACTAGCAAGTGGTACAAGACAATAGAAATTTCATCTTGGGATCTTTCTAATCAGTAGCACTATAAAAAGGGCTATATAGTGGCGATACTATTCATAAGTTTTGTTTACCTTTGCAAACGTAGGTCTTAGCGGCTACGGTGTTAAGAACAAGAACAACACATCCGGGAATTAGTCTCCGAAACAAAACAATTAAGACAGTATTAATATTTAGCAAGCTTTAATACAAAGAGAGTGAATAATTAACATAATAAACAGTCGATTCTAAGAATAGCTAGCAAAACACAGACACACAAGGCGCCATTGTTTTTTCGTGTCGGTGACTACGCAGGAAGCTTTCTGCTCCCTCGCCTTCGATGGACGTTGAAACGTTTCTCCACAACCTCCGTGCTCGGGTATGTTGTACTATCTGTAAAAACATATTCACGGACCCAAAACAGCTCCCGTGTCTCCATGATTTCTGTCTACAATGCTTGGAAGGTCGGCACGAAAAAAGCCATGATCGAGACACAATCAAATGTCCGGATTGCCAAGCTCTTAGCACAGTGCCCGATAGTGGCGATTTGAAAGATCTACCGACCAGTTATTATCTGAACGGCTTGATTGATGTTTTAGCCATTAAAGAGCGAAAAACCAGCCTAGTACGGTGTGGAAATTGCGACAAGAAAACCTCTCAGAGTTTTTATTGTTTCCACTGTTGCATTTTTTATTGCCAAGAATGCGTCAATGGACACAACATCCTTCGAAGCAACAAGGATCATCGTGTTCTGGCGCTCAAAGATTTCCAAGACAAGGACTTTGAGGATGTGTTGAAACGACCTTCTTTCTGTCCACAGAAGTGGCACGAGAAAGAAGAGCTGAAATATTTTTGCAAGAAATGCGAGATGGCAGTTTGCCAAACCTGTGTTGTGATAGATCATGCAGGTCACGCTTTGGTGAGCATAGATGAAGAAGCTGAAAGAAGAAAGATTGAAATTGAATCACTGCTTAAAGCACAGAAACGCAGTTTACAAGAAAAGATGAACGCTCTTGATAAACTTGATGAAGAATGCGCTAAAATAATAAAACATCGCGAAGACGTGAAAAGAGATGTTCAAAAGTTTGTGGATAAGTTAATTGCAACTATTGAATCGAAGAAGGAAAATATGATAGCGGCAGTAGAAAACGAAGCAAACGAAACTGTAATCGCGCCAAAGAAGGAGATGGAGAACCAGCTCGCCTCATTAGAATCATCATTAGAAAGAGCTGAGAAACTGCTGTCGCAGGGTGCTGATATCGATGTCGTTCAACTGAGTCAATTTATGGAGTCCATGCTTTTCGACGAGGCTGATCAGTTACAGCCAGCAGACAGTGATCTTGACAGGCTGTCTGCTATGGTTTTCGTAGGAAATGAAAGTTTATTGGAAACTATCAGCACCGAAGGAATAGGAACATTGCAATCATGAAAACAACACCAAACATTACGACAGTCTGTCGCTAGAATAAAACAAAGCGTTAACAACAAGGCTTGTTATTTGGCCGTGCGATTCTTTTGTCCGGGATATTCTTATTTGTAGTTACGGAAATCTCAGCGAAACATTTCCCCCGTTCGATAGCAAGTATATGAGTAGGTCTGGTTGTTAGAGATTCGATTGAATTGGTTTATTATGATCACGTTTCGTTTACACGTTTCATGCATGTTCTAGTTGGCCATCTATACAGTGTTTTTATGTACAGGCAACTGTTTTCGTAGTTCTCTTGTGGTGTTAAATACACTTAGCTTGTTTATTCCTACGATGATTATCATTATTGACCATTAATAGTTTGCGTGACGTTCAAAGGAGGAGAGTTTGTACTAAGAAAGGTGTTAAAAGGCAAACTATTGCGAAACTAAACTCCTCCAGGTCGGGTTTTATTTTCTATGCAAATATATTTTTTGTCGTATTGCAACATAATCCAATATATTTTAGCTTAGGCCATTCCCACAAGATGTTTCGTTTCCTATCGCCCTACCGAACCACTGTACATTTGAAAAAGCTGGAGAAAGCTATTAACTTTCGAGATACCTTCTCTAGCCAGTGTAAATTTCATATTCAACTTAATTAACACTGAATGTCAAATTCATCGTAAAGGAGATGGGCACGCAATACTTTCTTCTAAATAAACATTATTTACGTCTAATTTCCAGTTTGCATATTTTACAGGGGATGTTAGAGTTACGAAAATAGTGAGAAAAATAATGCCTTATTTTGGTCAAATATGAGTTTATATCTTAGCATTATTTTGTGGGTTACCAAGAACAATGAGTCCGCCATTTCGCTTGTTTGGACAAATTTTAATCGCCTTAAACGTCGGTTAGGGAGCTCATCGACTTCACAGCGGCTTTGGATTAAAAAAAACCCTCAGTTCATCTCTTGGATTAACTGATCGTGCTTTCAGGAACAAAAATTAAACAAATGCTGAGTTTTATCATCGGATTCACCTCAGTTAAACTTCTATGGCTTTTCAGGGGCCGGAGCCGGGTCTGCCGTCTGTTTTCTTCATTTTAAGGTGATTCCTCAGGAAAAATAGTTATAGTTATGGCTAACACATAATAACACATAATAGTTATAAATAACACTCGATCGGGCGCTAATCACGCGCATCATTTCATCGGTTCACGGTAATTTTTGCGGTGGCTGGAAGCAAGGGTTTTTAAAGTAACACTTGAAAATAACTTGATTGGTTGAAAGTCTCGAGTGTACGAAACAATTAATGTATAATTTGTGGAGAAATCACGCAATTTTAGACGACATCGATACAAAAAGTTCGGCTCGTTGCTTTCAAGGTCATAATTTGCATTCCTCGAGTAATGGGCTTCGCACACGCTTTTGGCTATATCCATTTTCCTTTCAAGTTGGTTTTTTACTCACTCAATTCAAAGGGGATGATTTGTTCAACAAATTTATGCGATAAAAAATATGGTTGATTGTCCTCGCGGAAGAGCTGAAGACCATTGTACTTGGTCCATTGATTGAAAAACAATATTGATTGAAAAACAATACCTTGTTCTGGGAATGCGCGCAAGGGTCTTCGCCTGATTACGTGATTTTCATGCGCAGTTAAGGATGCGTAGTGGAGTACGAGCAATCATATTATCGTTCTAGATAATTTTCAGTTTCATTCAGCAAGAATGCTTATAGCAGGGTCATGAGGATCAGGCGAGACAATTTGATTGACGTACAAGCTTTAAAAACAACAGATTAGGTTAGCGCTGATTCCAAGAATTGCTGATTAACCCTTTAACTCCCAAGATTTGATTGTCAATTCTCCCCTCTAGCTGCAGCACATTTCCTTGTAAATTACTTACGAGAATTTAATGTTTCATCTAGATGACAACTTCAACCTGATAAGTCTGAGTATTCTCATTACCTTTTCGCTTGATAATATATGGATACTATGAGGAGAATTTGCGTGTTAATCACTTCTGGGAGTAGAAGGGCTGAAAAAAAACTCTCCAGGATTCATGGTTTCAAATTGACTAATTCCTTGAAAACACAACTTTTCACACTGGCGTCTAAAAACGACATGGATATCAAAACGTTGCTTCATAACCTTCGCGAAGAAGTTTCGTGTTCAGTGTGTACTACCATATTCACGGATCCGAAACAGCTCCAATGTTTACACAGTTTCTGCCTGAAGTGCTTGAAGCAATGGCACAGAACAAGTCATGGCCGAGACACAATCAGATGCCCGAAATGCCAAGCCCTCAACAAAGTGCCGGAAAGTGGCGATCTGAAAGATCTACCAACCAGTTTTTAC